AGCCCGCGGGCTCGAGACCCGCCTGGGCAGCGAGATCTCATCTATACAATAAATCAAAAAATTAGCCAGGCATGGTAGCGCGCGCCTGTAGTTCCAGCTACTTGGAAGGCTGACGCGGAAGGATCACCGGAGCCCAGCAGGTCGAGGCTGAGGTGGCCAGGAGTGGCCACTGCACTCCAGTCTGGGCAACAGAGTGAGACTCCAACTCAAAATAATAATAATAATAATAATAATAATAATTTTTTTTTTAATTAGCCAGGTTGCCGGGTGCAGTGGCTCATACCTATAATCCCAGCACTCTAGGAGCCCGTGGGTTCGAGACCAGCCTGGACAACTTGGTGAGACCTCATCTCTACAATAAATCAAAAAATTAGCCGGGCATGGTGGTGCGTACCTGTAGTTCCAGCTACTTGGAAGGCTGAGATAAAAGGATAGCCTGAGACCAGCAGTTCAAAGCTGTGGTAGTTGGGAGCGTGCAACTGCCCTCCAGCCTGGGTGACAGGGTGAGACTCCAACTCAAAAAAAAAAAAAATTTAGCCAGGTTTGGTTATGTGCACCTGTAGTCCTAGCTACTTGGGAGGCTGAGGCAGGATAACCGCTTCAGTTCACAAGTTTAAAGTTACTGAGGGCCGGGCTCGGTGGCTCAGCCTGTAATCCCGCACCTTGGGAGGCCGAGGTGAGTGAACTGCCTGAGCCTGTGGGTTCGTGACCCGCCTGGGCAACTTGGCGAGACCTCATCTCTACCATAAATCAAAAAACTAGCCAAGTGTGGTAGCGCGCGTCTGTAATTCCGGCTACTTGGAAGGCATAAGCAGAAGGATTGCCGGAACCCAGCAGGTCGAGGCTGCGGTGACCGGGAGCGGACACTGCACTCCATTCTGGGTGACCGAGTGAGACTCCAACCCCCAAAAATAAAATAAAATAAAATAAATAAATAAATAAACTTACTGAGATTTGACTGCACTCCTGCACCCCAGTCTGGACAACAAAGCAATACACTGTCTCTACAAAATAATAATAATATTAACAACATAAAAGACTATGTCTGTCACACTGTTTTATAATTGTCCGTCCTGCACATATTCCCAGCAAAATGCACAGGGAAAGTGCCATATACTTCTTTTAAAAACTCTGAAGTACTACATATATAATAAATATTAGAATATATGATAAACTGATTTAAATAAACCAAAATGAAAGAAAAATTAAAACCACCAGAAAACAGTACAACTACTAGTTTTATTGTTAAACATGCACTTTTTTTTTTTTTTGAGTTGGAATCTCACTCTGACGCCCAGACCGGAGTGCAGTGACCGCTCCTGGCCACCGCAGACTCGACCTGCTGGGCTCCAGCGATCCTTCCGCCTCAGCCTTCCAAGTAGCTGAAACTACAGGCGCGTGCTAAAACATGCACATTTTATAAAAATAATTAAATACTGAAATGATATAGGAAGCCCATTCAAAATCAGTAGCTTCAAAGTAAAAACAACATTGTTCTGCAGGGTTAAAAGTATGATTAGATTCATTAAGTATGCACAGTAAAATTAGCAAAATTAAAAGTTAACTACTGGTCAGGCTCCATGGCTCAGTCAGTAATCCCAGCAATTTGGGAGGCCGAGGCGAGTGGATTGCCTGAGCCCACCGGTTCGAGACCAGCCTGGGCAACTTGGCAAGCCCTCGTCTCTACAATAAATTAAAAATTAGCCAGGTTCGGTGGCTCAGCCTGCAATTCCGCACCTTCGGTAGGCTGAGGTGAGTGGACTGCCTGAGCCCACGGGTTCGTGACCCGCCTGGGCAACTTGGAAAGACCTCATCTCTACAATAAATCAAAAAATTAGCCGGGCATGATAGTGCGTGCCTATAGTTCCAGCTACTTGGAAGGCTGAGGCGGAAGGATCGCCGGAGCCCAGCAGGTCGAGGCTGCGGTGGACGGGAGTGGCCACTGCACTCCAGTCTGGGTGACAGAGTGAGACTCTAACTCAAAAAAAAAAAAAATTTAAAATTAGCTGGGTTTGGTAGCGTGTAGTTCCAGCTACTTGAAAGGCTGCAATGGAAGGATCACCAGAGCCCAGCTGGGGTGGCCATGAATATGCCACTGCACTCCAGCATGGGCGACAGAGTGAGACTCTAACTCAAAACAAACAAACAAACAAAAAACAGTTAACCACTATAAGAACAAAAAAAGAGTATATAGAATATATCTTTCAAACACAAAGGGAAAAGAGAAAAAACAAAAACTCAACCCAAAAAAAGGTAAGAAAGAAGAAAGAAAAGCATAGTAAGTACAAAGTGTAAGTTGGTACAAAAAGCCCAAATTCATTCATTTAACAATTATATTATGGAATATCTACTAAAAGCCAGATACTGTTTAGGCAAAAGGGATACAGCAGTCAACGAAACATAGAAAAAAAATCTGCGCTCATGAAACCTAGTGAAGGAAAGCATAAAAAGCCAGATAAA